AGACACGCATCAAATTCGGCACTGTTCACTTATAAAGAAATAAGTGACCAGGCCATCTGCGAGATGTATCGGCAAGTCAGTCTGGAGACATCTATATTCACTCCATCGTTTGTCTTAATATTATTTATATTAAATTATTTTAGAACCATATAATTTTATGTCCAGTTGACAAGTATTAAATTTTTGTTTTATATTTACCACAATAATACTTAATAAGTCAACTTCTTTTTAGCAAATTTTGGTAACTTTGTTCACTTAAACATAAAGTCCATCATCAAAGCCTATAATACAGGGTGTCCGGGAAAAGGAGGTCAATCCGTTAACCATATATTCCTTAAGTTAAAACAATAAGACTTTCATAATACCATTTTTCAATTTAGAGCTGGATCATTCCACGTTACTCGGGGATTTTTGTCCCGCCCGTCACAATTAAAAATTGTGAGTAAAAACTCAACGTTATAAAATTTATTTAAAAATATTGTTTTATTATGCTTTTAATAAGTTATAAGCACAATAAAAATAATATTATAAAATATTTATTTTATAACTTGTGGCTTTTACTCACAATTTTTAATTGTGACGGGCGGGACAAAAATTACCGAGTAACGTGGAATGCCCCAGCTTCATGTTCGATATACAGGGTGACAAAGTTTGAAATTTAAAACTGATTTTTTTAAATAATTTGAGTAATTGATAAGATATTAAGTTTAAATTCGGTACACTACTTCAACATAAATAGTTACATTTTTTGAGACCAACAAAACAAAAAACAATTGTCAAATAAACAAAATAGGGGGGTCCAGTACTCACTGACTCCCCCTATTTTTTAGTACGTGCGCCAATGACTTCCAAACAGTATTTTTTCAGGTAATCATTTATTGTTGAAATTTTTTTGTCTCTTATAAATTTTTGATAAAATGATTTGTTTTAGAGATAATTTGTAAAGTATGGGTCAGTCCATATCAAATTTTCAAAATTTAATTTTTTTTTTTTGAAAAAATTTAGGTCATGTGATATATTATAAAAAGGTCTCCAATAGGCCTTTAAAATAAGCCACCTTTCTACTTTTAATACTTAATATTTACGAGATATCGCTATTTTTGTAAGTACTTGCAAGACCCAAATTTATCGGAATTTTTGGATTTTCAAAAATTAATAAAACAAAAACCACCTATCGAAAAAAATTCATATATGGGATTTTTGAGTTTTTTAGTGAGGTAAACAAATTTACCAAAAATTATCAAAATCGGAGATGGTGGGGGAAGAACCTTTGGTTGATTTGATATGGACTGACCCATACTTTACAAATTATCTCTAAAACAAATCATTTTATCAAAATTTTATAAGAGACAATTTTTTTTTAACAATAAATGATTACCTGAAAAAATACCGTTTAGAAGTCATTGGCGCACGTACTAAAAAATAGGGGGAGTCAGTGAGTACTTGAACCCCCCTATTTTGATTATTTGACAATTGTTTTTTGTTTTGTTGGTCTCAAAAAATGTAACTATTTATGTTGAAGTAGTGTACCGAATTTGAACTTAATATCTTATCAATTACTCGAATTATTAAAAAAAATCAGTTTTAAATTTCAAACTTTGTCGCCCTGTATATCGAACATGAAGCTCTAAATTGAAAAATGGTATTATGAAAGTCCTATTGTTTTAACTCAAGGAATATATGGTTAACGGATTGACCTCTTTTTCCCGGACACCCTGTATATGCTTTGATGATGGACTTTATTATACATATATATATTAGGGTGAGCCAAAAAAACTAACCTATCGGATTTATGGGTTAAAATGAACCTACATACCGAGCAAAAAATTTCCCTGCAAGGCAAAATTTTTTGCTCAATTTTAAAAGGTGTCGGTGAGCATTCTAAGTTTTCCATTGAAATAACACGTAAAAAAATATTTTTTCATTAAAAAGACTATAACTTTTGAACCGTTTGAGATAAAATTTTTTACGTCGCGGATTCTTGTAGAGCATAAAATTTCCCAAAGAATCTATACCAGGATTATTTTTTTTAATTCAAAAATTCGTATGTTTGAAAGCTTTGAAAAGTGTAAAAAATCACTAAAACTGCAGTTAGTTATAGTCTTTTTAATGAAAAAATATTTTTTTACGTGTTATTTCAATGGAAAACTTAGAATGCTCACCGACACCTTTTAAAATTGAGCAAAAAATTTTGCCTTGCAGGGAAATTTTTTGCTCGGTATGTAGGTTCATTTTAACCCATAAATCCGATAGGTTAGTTTTTTTGGCTCACCCTAATATATATATATATATATTATGGCTTTTTATTTTTTATTTCTAAAAGTAACAATATTAACACCATCATTTTACTTAAAAAAAAATATATATTACTTAAAAAAATTTAGGTATTAATCTCTTTTGGTTCCAGTTCAAAGCTTTAACAGCCTTAATTTTTCTCCTGAAAAATTTTAAAAGTGACTTATTACAGTCTGGTTATGGGGTTTCCAAGGGATATTTATATAAGCTATAGTTTGAAAAGATAAGTTGAAGCCACAGACCACTAAAACAAATGGACGGATTTGTTTACGTTTAAAAAGCGAGTAAAGCATAGTTTCACATTCTAAACACCGTCGAAAGAAACACGGCTTCCAACGTTGTCAGAAGTATAGATTACACGCCTTTTTGGACGTTCATCATAACATAATGAACATTAATAATTACCAGTAATTCGTTTGAATAATAAAAAAATTGTAAAAAGGATTTGTTTATCATTTTCTTTAGATATTTTTCTCTATTTAAAGAAAGTAAATCATTTAATAATTATTAAAATTAAATATTAACAACGTTGGTAAATTCGTCATATTTAACAGCAAAGAAAAAGGTTATGTTCTGTGGGTTGACAGCTTGTTTTTTTGTGTTTTAGTTTGTGTATTTCTATCGTGTTTAAGTTAATTATGGAGTTTAAATACATTATTTTTTACTAAAAATAACAATACATGGAAATATCGTTTGTAAGTACCTACATAATTATTATTTTTTTAATCCCAATACGTCACTGGAAGAAAACATAAAATCTATCGCCAATTTAACGCTTAGACTGTGACCGTTTGTTGACGTCACTGGAAGAAAACATAAAATGCTATCTCCAATTTGACGCTTAGACTGTAACTGTTTGTTGACCGCAAACAAAGCATTGTTATTAAATGGCAATGCGCCGTCCATTTGTTTTGGTGGTCTGCGGTTAAAGCACATATAATTTTGTTATAAATGGATGTGCATTGAAGATAAGGATTACATACAAAAGCATTGTTTAATTAATACCGTGAAGCACAAAATTAAGAAATAATATTTTTACTTTTTTTAAATGCATATTATCACTTTTAATTAAAACAACCGCATATATATTTAACTCTTATATAACGCATATTTAACTCTTTAGCTCTTAACGCTTATTGAACTCTTCTACTTATTTTTATTTGCTATTCACTCAATTAAAAATAAAAGTAAACATCGCACTATAAATCCCGTTTTATTATTTTGATTAGGTTACATGGTACCAAGTATGTATGTACTGTTTTTAAAATGTTCTTCTAGAGTTTTCATTTTTAGAATTTTCAGTAATAGATTATTTTACACTGTTCCACTCAAAAACCATTGCAATATAAATCATACTAATGTTAACCATAAAAAATGCTTCACTGTAAAATTCACCAAAATGCACTGGAAACCTTGTAGAACTCACGCGACGAATACACTAAGGGTCACAAAAGATGTGACCATTTAAATGTATGCAATGACGCAGACAGCGCCCTCTACAACCCACATTATTAATTTTCCTGTCCTGAAAAACCCCTGAATATCAAATTTTGTGCAAAAACCTCTGTTTTTTAATGTCATTTTATAAAATCGAAAAGAACTTTTAACTTTGACACCCTGTACCTTGGTTAAAATTAACTTTTCTATAGATGTAAATTTAGTTATAAGCATTATTTTGTATAGGCATTTCCAGAGACACCTTTATATTATATTATATAATAATAAATTAGGAGGCGCTACAGTTACTGTAAGTAAACAATTGCTCACATAAAAATTTGTAGGTAATTACAACTATTATTGATTTTTTTTCAATTGTAGGTTTGTTTGATCATGCCAAAATTTAACGGTTCTGGAACTAAAGATAATCAGTCATGATTTTTTGATATGCATGCGTGTACTGTTACAACCAGTTCCAAAGGAAGGCTGATAAAAAACTGTTTGTACTTATTTTTTCGAATTGGGTCGTTGAATTTCATTTGCATCGCAACTCTCTCAGGGCTGTTTAGAATTTAAAAACAAACACGAAAAATTTAGTTTTTATAAAATTTGTATAATTTCGTTAACGTTCGGGATTCACGAACAGATGGAACTACAAATACTTGCTTCCTGGGTGGGTATAACTGATTTGGACAATTCCGAACCGTTACCCAACTCTTTAAAAATCTGATTAAATAGCGTAGGTACCAAGCGTTCTTACTAAAAACTTCTTAGGACTACTAGTTTCCATTTCGAGGCTTGATCAAACAGATTTTTGTTATTGTGCATGCAAATAGTCTTAGAACTGCTTAATTAAACGAACCTTGTGTCTTTAACAACTTTTGAATAACAATTTTCGCCAATAAAAAATTAGATATTTCACTGTTACAAATGTTCATCTCCTTTTTTCCCCAAATAATCGGATTTTACTAGTTAAATATGCAAAATATTAAGTACCTATTGGAATTGTAAAACTAAGTTTTCTTATCCAAAGCTGCAAGGGTTTGATGGTCGAAAACTCAGATTTACGCTTTCTCCGAGCTTCCTATATGGTACCCTAACGCAAAAATATTCTTAATGACTAGCAATAATGCTCATATGAATCGGACTAACTTTACTGAACTATTAGCTTTAAATTACAATAATTTATGTATCATATCTACACTGTTTGAGTAAAACAAGATAAGTCAAAAATATAAATATAGATGTTTAATTCTTTTTAATTATAGCTGCGTTAACTGAAGATTATTGTGGTGTGGAACCTATTACTCACCCGCCTAACATTATTGAAACCCGACCAGCTCCGATATTGGATGAAGATTTGTTAAAGAAAGCATATAATCAAACGGACTCGGCTATTCTTGGCAGTAAGTTTAAAATTAAATTTATACAAAAAATATTTTTGTCAACACTTTTTCTTTAAGGTGTCCTTGCCATAATTTTCTTAGCCCTCGTTATTTTGGGTATATTTATTGGTAGATACCTTCACAGACATAAAGGTGAATATTTAACACAAGAGGACGCAGGCGCAGATTCTGCTGTAGATCCAGACACGGCCGTTGTGCATGGTACAACAGGTCATCACGTACAGAAGAAAAAAGAGTGGTTTATTTAATAGATTACAAAGATCATTGTGTAAATTAGGCCTAAAGTACAACCTAGTTTGTTTTAAGTTATTTTAAGTACTTTAAAACGGGGTCTCATTTTTTGAGTTGAGACTTACTAAATTTAATTTTTGTGTTTATTTCATCATAATATGTAAATTGCATACTTACTTTGTTTTATTTTAAAGTATTATTTTTCCGTCCATTTTAGTTACATAATTTATTTTATTTTTTATTGTATATATTTTACACTGCAACGATCTTCCAAATTAAGAGATTTTATTTAAGTGCCTTCTTCTGGCTACTTAGTATTTAAGTTGTATCTATAACTATAACTTACACCATTAGACTTTAGCACTGTACTTTTTTACAAATAAATGTTAAGAAATTTTTAAACAATTCATTTCATTTTTAATTCATCCAAAATAATTAACATTAGCACTGCGTACTCTATCCCAGGCGGGAGTGTGGTAGTGGGAAGCGTGACGTCAGGAGGCTGACTACAATTAGCAAATTAATGTAAAATCGCGGTAATACAAGACAGTTTTTTTATAAATTATCTATTGTTTCATATGAATTATCGTTTCTTTATGTATGCGACCATCGCATTTAACGTTGATTTCAATATTGCATTAGTTTGCTGCTTTTATAACATAAATAAAAAATACCAAAAAAATGTTGTGTTCCTAACAGGCAACTGGAAAATTATATTATATTATCGCTGTAATGCAAGACAGTTTCTTATGAATTATCGATTGTCAGAGCCAGCTCGAGGTTTTTTGCCTCTAGGCAAAGAACCCTTTTGCCGCCCTTTTTTATTCGGCAGAAAAAAATTCTCGTTTCCTGTCCCCAGCTGTCAATTATTAAAACGATCTCTACACTTATTGCTTATGTTTCTTTTATTTTATGTATAGCCTAATAAAATAATATAATTAACAATTTTGATGTCAAAATACTATAAAATAAATTACCTACAATATTTTTTATAAAAACAGTTTTATGATTTGCCCCGTTTGCATGCTTTAAATGGCCCTTGACATTAGCTAAAAAGACTGGTTAATTTGATTATTAAATAATACAAATTTTATAGCGCATTATAAATTATTCAAATGCGCATATTAATTAATCCAATGCTCAAAGTATAAATAATGCACGCTAAAATCTTACCCTAATATAATATGTTATATAATGATTGCATATATTATTACTATACTTTCACACAATCAATTATAATACGTTTATTGAAATTGATCATATCTTTGATTACTTGCATATTATGTAATAAGCCTTTATCCGAAACTCTTGCAAAAATAACTAGCGTAATGTGTAACATATTATCTAATTACAAGAAACTAAGAATTATTGTTATAGCTGCAAAAAAACAAGATGTTAAGGTGCACCAGAAACTATAAACTTTACAGTAGCTTACCGTTGTATTTTTATGTTTGTTTTAAATAAATTACTATTTTAAGAGCATACACAAAAAATAATCATTTACAATAAATAAGCAACATTTTTATGGTTGTATATAGGCAAAATATATTATACTCAATTCAAATATCAGTTTACTTGTGTTTATTTAAATTAAATCTATTATGTTTTGTTGAAAACTCCTTTTTTAAATGAATATATTAACTTATTTTAAGTAAACTTTAATATTTAAAACAGTATAATTTCTATATTTAAATACAAGAAAATTTAATTAAAGTAATTATTCCTAATAGTAATATACAAATTAAACTAATTTCTTTGTAAAATTAGACCTAAAAAAATTATTATTTATTATTCCATATTATAAAAATAAGACTACACTTATTTCAAATTTACAAATCCAAAACAATCATTATTTTAAAATTAAGGAATTATTTTTTGTGTGCAGTTCAGTTTGTTTTAAATAAATTACTATTTCAATATCAGTTCTCCGTTTGTTTTCAATAAATTAACATATTTTTCTATTGATTTTGATAGAATATGTACTCTTAAATTGTCCACCGCTTTAGTAAAATTTACTCCTTAAAACCAATAATAATCCATAACTTCGGTTGCAAAGCAATGTAATACATAGGTGCACGTTGATCAGAACCGCCCCCTTACGTCACAGTTTTGATGCAGGAGTGGGGGCTACACTCCCGCCTGGGATGGAGTACGCCGTGACATTAGGTATATTTAGAATAATTTTATTAAAACATCTTTACATCAAATACATTTATGAGAAAATAAAATTTACAGAAAATAAATTCTATTATATGAAGAAAATAAAAACTGGAAATATGATAAAATCTATCATGGATCACATAATTTAATCTAAAGATATATTTTAACTTAAGGTATACTAGAACTGCTGTAAGCGCTACTATCGGTATCATTTGCAGACAGATTGTTTACTGTCACTGTTAATTCATTTATTTCCTCTTCTTCTAAAAAATAAATTATTTATTAAATGGCTAAAATTAAACTAATAATTTCTTACCAGAGTCATAGTACTCAGATTGTGGTTCTCTTGGTGACAACTTACAACCCTTAGACAAATAACTTTTCAATTTGTCTTTGGCAGCTAAAATAAGCCCCAAGAATGGTGGGGATGGATTTAATGGCCTTGAGAGGTACTCAGGATGGTACTGAACACCCACATAATATGGATGGTTATCCAACTCAAATATTTCAAGACGTTGTTGATCCAAACTGCAACCAACAAACTTTAATCCATTCTTTTCCAAATCATTCAAGTATGCTGTATTGACTTCATATCTATGCCGGTGTCGTTCATAGATGGTGTCTTTATTTCCATAGAGTTGGTCTAAAATATTTAAAATTAAAAATAATATAATTCAAAGTAAAATATGTGACCACTTACTTATTTTACTATTTTCTTTAATTCTAAACATTGTAGCTCTCTTTCCCAACCTCATAGTGCCTCCCTTTTCACTGGTATTGTACTCGGGCATATCCAAAATGACTGGGTTTTCTAATTTGTCATCAATTTCTGAGGAATTTGCATTTTGAATATTTAAAACATTGCGGGCAAATTCGATAACAGCCGACTGGAAACCCAAACAAATACCTAGGAATGGCTTTTTATTTAATCTACACCATTTGCAAGCCACTGTCTTTCCCTCCACACCACGTTTTCCAAAACCTCCAGGAACAACCACAGCACTAAAGAAATATTTTATTTAGGTTCCGTATCTTCAAAAATTATACCCTCTCCCTTTTTGCATATTGTAAAATTGTTAAATACCACCACTTTTTTATATGGATGAATTATTACAATAAATTGTTAAATAAAAAATCAAATTAACCGAATTTTGTACGTGGCTTTAGTTAGTACCCCCCTTTTCCTATTGTGCAATGTTGCACCAAAAGTGGATAACATGACCCAATACGTAAATTTGAAACATTAACCACGTTCAGGTACCTACACAACCTTAAAAGCGGTTATTTCCGCTTAATACAACTCAAAAAAAAAAACATAAAAAACAGAGCAACAGCAACAATAGTAACAAAACAATACAAAAAACAAACAAACCATGCCGTCCCAATTCTTATTGCTGGCATTTACGGAATTATAGTTGAGCAGGACAAATAAATCAATCACCAAGTAATTAACTCACAATACAAAAGTGTATAAACTAATTGAGACAAAAATAAACATTTGGAACCTAGGAACTTAGACCCTACGTCGAAGATGCAATAATCGAACTAAACAGTCGTTACGAAAACAACAAAGACGGACAAATCAATGCCTTTGAAAGATCACTGCTTTTTGGTAGGAGCGTCTTCAAGGTCGCAATTGAAATACCACGAACAGGGTGAGAATGACAAGATCTCCGCCAGACAGAACAATTTCCCTACAATAGCAGTACGCTACAGACGTGGTACATTAGGTACCCATAACCACTACGACAGTATCTCAAAGGTTTGGCCAAAACAGCGACCGGCACCCGAGAACATTCCTACCACGATCGGCACAAACGTAAACATTAGAGCAGTCGGTAATGGTAAATACACTACAACGCAATCTACTACTACTTAATATGCACACTAAACCCACGCGGGTGCGGCTTTTCAAACTATTCGCATGTCGCTCTCGAGCCCCAAATAGGGTACAGAACCGGACGCGGTGGACATTCGCACCCAGCAAACACGGGTGAAACCTGGCAGTTGCTGGTGGTAGAAAAAATCGGCGTAGGGTAACCGAGGCTTGTGCGGGGCTCGGGAGAGATGAGGCACGACTCTTACTTTATATTGCAGTAATAATAATTATTATTATTATTATTGTACTAAATTATAAGATACAATTTTTAAAAGCTTTAATTCCAATTTTAATTTTATTTATTACATATTTATTAGGACAAATATTTATTAATAATGAAGCGTTAAAAAATCATTTCAGGACTTCTGCAGGTCCCTGGATATCGAACGTGTTCCCGGGACCGGTAAAATAGGGTGAAATTCCGGGACCTTGGTCAAATTTAGTAGTAATGTTTTCTCTTTAGATTCATGTATGTCTTAATGACATAGTTATTTTTTATTTTGAAATATTTCAACTTTGGAAAACCAATTTTGATAAAAGCAATATTTTATTTCGCTTAATTATTTAAATGGGTATTACTTAAAAAGTGGCATAAGGTAGCTCATTAAATTTATAGTTTATAAACAAAAGGGGGATCTTGGTTCATAATATGAACCAATTAACAATTTATAAACTTTTATATATTTAATAAATATTATTTAAAAAAATTGTAATTGTTTATTTTAAAAAAAATTCATTTAGGTTTTTTAAATGCTAAAAGAAAATTCAGAATATGTTGTCTTAAAAAGTTTCAGCCTTGTAAAATTTATTTAAAAAAGTTTAGAACCATTTTGTATTTAACCAAAGAATTTTTATACACTTTTTTGTAAATATTTTTAAATTACATTAAAGCCTCATTCAGAACCTCGTAATTAGTGGAATAAATTAGTGGTTTCAATTAACATAAAAGTTTGTCTTATGAATATACACAGTGTTGTTCACAACCAGAAAATTATTGGTAGTACTTTTCAATTAGTGGAAAAAGTTTGCAAACTCCAAACATTTACCACTAATTATAATTGGAAAGCGGCTTTGCGCATGTGCGCGGATACAGATACCTATATATATATATATTATTCTAATTGTTGTAAAAAATATTATTTTACTATAATTAATATTGTTTATGTCAGGTTAAGAAGAATGGACAATCTTTTAGAAAATTCCCTTTTTAATTTTGCGCATTGTGAATGATCGTTTTGTGTTTATATTATAAGTATAATTGAAACCACTAATTTTTTCCACTAATTACGAGGTTCTGAATGAAGCCTAAGGAATGCAAACCTAAAATTTGCACCAACCAAGTTGAAATTCGGACTTTTGACCGGCTTTTTCTCGATCCGTACAAATGTTCTCCACATGGAGCCTACACAAGAAGTCCAAACTCCATGTATACAAAAATATTCCTAAAATAAGAGGGCGCTGGTGTTCCGTGTTCCAGCAGACGTCGGTACGCATCGACAGCGCCGCTGGTGTTGAAAAAACAATACTAATTTGTGCAATTTAGTGGGCAGGTTTTGTCAATTTCCCCTATTAAGTTTGGACTCCTTGTGTAGGCTCGATGGTTCTCCTCTACAGGAGGACAGCTCCAATTATATTTTAAACTTATATTTATATTAGAATGTCTTACTCGCAAAGGCATAAAGTATGCCAGGCATCATGATAGGCAACAGGGTCATCTTGTAGCATTGTATTCTCCAAATTTGAAGCCTCAATAAACTTAATAATAACCTTGAATCCAGCTTTTATACCAGCATGATGTAAAGCTTTAGTAACTGAAGTATAGGAATCTTCAAGACGTGTGTATTTACCAACTATTGCAATAACAACTTCACCCTTAAGATGGTTCATCCTCTCACTTAGGTCAATCCATGGTTTCATGTATCTTTTGCTTGAACCAAATGTCAGGCCAAGTTTTAGACGTTCATTGAGATAAGATGCCATTCCATGGTTTTCCATAAATACTGGTACTTCATAAACAGAAGATAAATCGGGAATGCTTATAATTTGTTCTGGAGCCACATGACAGAAATTCGAAATTTTATCTTTTACACTTTGACCAATTGGTTTTTCTGAACGACAAACAATAATGTCAGGAGACAAACCCAAACCTCTAAGTTCTCTAACAGAAGATTGTGTGGGTTTAGTTTTATGCTCCCCTGTTGTTTTAGGCTAAAATAACCAAATATATGTAAGTATTTAACAACCTAACTAAATAAACATTTTTACCTGTGGAACCAATGAAACATGTGCAACACAAAAATTTTCTCTTTTTACTCTGAACTGAAACTGTCGGAATGCTTCAACAAAAGCCATGCTTTCAATGTCTCCAACAATTCCTCCTAATTCAATTATACAGACTTCTGGGATTTTACCTGTCTCTGAGACAGGCTTTTGTGCAACTCGTTCAACCCATTCTTGAATTGCATCTGTGACATGTGGCACCACTAAAAAACAAAATAAATAAAAAACTAGGCAACCCATATAAATATTATTATTATTATTATGTAAACAATATAAATATGTGTGAAAAAACCTATTAACATAATCCCTTAAAACACATCTTGCATGCAAACCCGTCTGAATGTACGCATTTGCGCAAAATTTGTTCAAGGCATTTGTGCAAATTCAGCCAAAATATTTACACAAAATTTATGTAAATTTCTTTCATATTATATTTACCTAATTTAATTAGAAATATATCTTATGAAACTTTGAATTTATATTGTACTTTTTTTATTGGACATTTAGAAGAAAATGCCACTATGGTTTTTAACCACTGCCTTTAGGGCCACGGCCATGCGCGCTAAGTTGTGCTTAGGAACTTAAAGTCCGCCTGAGGTACTTATACAACCTTAACAAAAAGTTTTATTTAAAATAAAGTATATCCCGTATGGTCTAGTGGTTTAGATACCTAATTATGTAGCTTACTGCTTCCACACAGAGAAAAGTAATCTCCTGATTTAAGAAAATGCATTTATTTGAAACAGGTTTTCTTGTATGAAGTAAAATTTTCTTATTCGTAGTAAGTTGTTGTTTACAATAAGAAAATATTATTATTTGGTTGTGAATCATAAGTTTCTTGAAAACAACTTATTGTTGTGATTAATTTTAAAGAAATATTTATTTAGAGTAATTAATTAAATTGTTTGGATGTAGGTTGTATGGATTTGCTTTTATCAAATGTTAATACAAGCATATAATATCTTATTTTAACAAAATAATAGAATTGATACAATGTATGTCGTATAATTAACGAAAATACGTGATTTGTTTGTTTCAAAATAGTTATTTATGTCATTAGGTTAAGAAGTAAGGCTTTTTGTGCTAAGCTCAAGGTTTAAAGGCCGACGCGTAGCGGAGGCCTACAATTGAGCGAAGCACAAAAAGGCACTTCTTGGCCGAACGGCATACAACATTTTATCTTCAAAGCACTTTATATAGGTCAATTTAATTCAACATCAAAGCGGCCTAACCTCACTTTTTTAGAATATCATTTATTTATTAGCTAAAAATTACATTAAATGTACAATAATTATTATTGCTTTTAGAAGCAGTAATAGTTATACCTAGCAACATGATTTAAGTAGAAATGGATTTTTGCTATTACATTGAATTCAATTAATTGTTTAATAAATAGGTAGGTATCTAATTTCAATTTTTTTGGATTTTTATTTAAAAAATAGGTAGTTTGGAATGTTTAAGCTGTGTTTAACTTTTAATTTCACTAAAAACTTAAAGCAAATTAAAACTTAAAGATAATTTAAATCGTAGAAAAAGAATCGTGCGTTTTCTTGGTTGCCTAACCTCACTTTTTGTTTTAATATTCATATTTAATTTTACAATAATTTAATGAAAAATACTAAACATTAACAGTAAAACAAACAAATTAGTGCTTATTATAAATAAATTAAACCAGTTTAGTAGGTTAATTTCTTAGAAAAGGATTAATTTGTCAAAACAATACCCCTAGCGAAAAAAAATCGAACTAATTACTTGCCTCATAAAATTTTTTATCGGCCTAGGCCATAACAAGGTATTTCTTTATCGAATGCTGACAACAATAAAGTTTAAATTAAAGACCGCGTGGAGATAAATACATTTAGGTACTTGAAGCCAATACATATTTATTTGCTTTTATGTCCACGTGACTCGCGGAGCCAATTAGAGCATTTTCCTCCAAAGACAAAGACGCTTGCCCGGACCCCGGCTGCCGGCAAGCCTTGCCGTCCTGCAATCGCATCACAAGACAAACCTATATCCTTTTTCTATGAGAAAAACTCGCAGAACGTTGAGTGAAGGAAGTGGTTTATAAATCAACGGTTATAGTTTTGTTTACAGTTCTAATGTCTTAGAAGAATTCTTGAAAGGAAATAATTTAATTCATTTTTGTTGGTAAGTAAAAGTGATTTAAATAAAATTTCGTGTAATTAGGTATTTTGCAAACTACAAAGTTATATACAGATATATTTTTGGTTTATAAAACATATGTGAGTATATGTTTTTTAAGGTTAATTTTATATTGTGCTTTTATAGATAATGTTTTATAATACCTAATGTTTATTACATTACATTGTACACACTGTATTTTATTAATGCCATGCGTTAATATTTACACTAAAGTATTTTTTTTTCCTATTTTTGTTTTATAATACATAAACATAATATATTATATGTTTTGTTTAATGTTAATTTTATATTGTGTTTTTTTTTAAGTAATGGTTTTTGTAAATATTTTATTATAATCTTTATTATAATGTATTGTATACCCTTGTTTTGTTTAAATAAAACATATTTGAACGAACGTTTTTTAATTTAATTTTCCCTCCCAAGTATCAAGTAAATACCATCAAAATAAATAAATCAGAGTATTAAAAAAAGCAAACATTTGTTTGGTTCAATCACTATATATCTCGTGAAATTATAATATTAAAAGGTACTAATTATTTGTCTGAAATAAATTTTTTTCTTCATATAAGTAAATATTTTGTTTCTTTAAGTAAGCATCCCATTTAAAGTAAAAAAAAAGAATTACTTACTCCAAGTAAATGTTTTGTTTCTTTAAGTAAGCTTCTACTAAACCTGAGATAAAAAGTCAACTAGATATTTACTGTCTGTCCACTCTAAGTTGGCTGAACTAAGGAATTTTGTTGTTTAGATATTAAAGAATTGTCGTACTGTGTGCTTTTAAAACAGATTTTATATTATAAATAATACTAGTATATAATATGTACTAGTATTATTTATAATATAAAATCTGTTTTAAAAGCACACAATACGACAATTCTTTAATATCTAAACTACAAAATTCCTTAGTTCCGCCAACTTAGAGTGGACAGACAGTACTTGTATTAACCAAATATCAGTTTAAAAAGTCAAATAAACCCAAGTTTTCCACTAAATATCTTCTTGTAGATATTGAAATAAAAAAATTATTTGAGCCAAGCCAAATATAGTAAAATCAAGAGATTACTTTTTTCTGTGCACCTGGACCAAGCTAGCTTCATATTCGCCCAGCGAGTTAAACTCCATTCCGAAAATTAAGGTGCTCTGTAAACAGGAGACAACAGATCGTAAGGATACTGCAATGTCACTACTTGTACCATGAAGTACATTCACAGGGAGGATTTAGAGGCAGGATTACATATCCACGCGCCTTTTACAGCCAACATCATCACCACATTGCGTCCCTTTTACTATGTCTTCCTTTTATTATGTAAGTAAATTTGTGCCTCGTGTATTCCCTTACATACTCTATAATGAAAATTTCCTTTTTGATACCTAAATTGGTTGACGGACATAAAGCATTGTTTTTAAGGGTTGTTCTAGTATTTTTTTTTCTATGAGTAAAATCAGTTAAAACAATAACACAAAATAAACTTTATTCTCTAAAATGAAATAAACATACAACAAATATACTTTTATACAAAAAAAATTTAAAAATATAAACAACAATAATATCTTAATACTATTTGTTTTTGTAACCATATTTACTTTAAAGTTTGCAATCGGTTTATCAGGCTGGTTTAATTTATATTTAATAATTTTGGATATTTTGTTACCAAATTTATGAAAATTTTCTAAAATGGGAAAATTCCCTCGATCCGGCAACACTGCCTCATGGGTGAAAGCAAATCAAATGTATTTAATTTGATTTGCTTTTACCCAAAAGGCACAGGTTTTATTCCACGTAGCAGAATTCTTTTTTAATTTTTTTTTCTCTCAAAAATACTTCATACCTATTAGAAAAAATATTCTTTTTTATTGTCCCGCTAATGCTGCTAATGAGGCGTTCGGATGAATCTTTTATGGATGGTTGTTATTTTGTAGGTTTTTAGTACTGAAAATTTATAATATTGTGTTATTTATTGCCCGGTCTAGATAAAATAGAATCAGGTCGGGCCTTTATTCACAATTTCGAGCTCTGGCCGGGTTAAGTGCCTGATTTTTGTACCAGAGCCTGAAAAATTTGGCCCTTGCAGGGCTCTAATGCAGCCCCGGGTTTTTAAGTTTGCATTCCCACTACTCTTGGTGTTTAAAACCCGGAATTTCCGTTCAACAACGCATGATACAATACTTTGTATTGTATAATTTTTCTATCAAAATATATCAGCTGTGTTTCAATAAATATTAAATTTTTTTTAACAATATATTCATAAACCATATTATTAAAAATGAAATCGTAGCTATTACGTCCTGATTAAGGCGGAACTGTCCGCGAAGGTATTAAAATGTCCCGATTTTTCTTTTTTATCTTTTTTAAATTTGATTGCTCCAGGCTTCACTAAAATTAAGTTTGATACCTGACAAACAATTTTTTGCGGTTGAGACAATGAGACTTGTTCTGAGTGGCTGCGCTCTTTATGATCTGTGATCTGTGTCAGTACCGATGCGGTGATTGGCAGCGATCGACAAATTGATATAACATTTTGCTCCAAAGCGTTTTTGATATTGCTCAACTCACTACCGCCAATGCTCAAAAAAATTGTTGAGCGTAGCTAGCAAAAGCCTATTGACACTATTCATTGAACAGCGCAATAGCAACCCTGGAAACTGGTTGTAAAATTTCTAATGAACAAGTTCAAAACATCTTTTACAATAAAAAAGGAACAACAATTTTTACCTTCTGAAGAAAGTCAGATCATCTGATAAGTATACAGGGTGTCATCCCTTGGGTAAATAATAGTTTATGCCAAAGTAAGCAAGTTTTTTCTCTATCTCTTTTGAATTAGTGCTACTGTTTTAGAATAAAAAAAATATAAAAAATAGTGTAAATATTAAGCAATTGATGGAAAGATACTGGTTTTGTTGCATCAGCAACAGCTGTAGTCAAAGTATAGTCGGCCCGTTAAAAGCATCGACAGCAGTACTGAGAATAACCACGTTCACTACCGGCGACCACTATAGTGGCCAATCGGTTGGCTCACCATGAACCGCGGCCTCTATACTGGCCTCAAATTTATTCTTACTTAGGTGCAATATAAATTTAGCTGGGTCACAAGTGGTGACTTGTATGTTGTCTTCGGTCTATAACGCGCGCACGGCCAGTTAAGTGGCCTCTGGTTCACTTTTGTGGCTTTATTTACAGTGACTCAGGTTTATTTCCTACGCCAGTTTCAAAAGATGTCAAAGTTGGTTTATTACAAGTGACCAGCTGTAACACGGCGGTAGTGAACGTGTTAAACAACTGGCCGACTCTACTTAGTCTGTTGACCCCAACCAGTTAGATGTTAGGTAGGATTCTGGTTTAAACTAATCCAGTGTTGTGACGAACAAATACCTTAGAAGTAGGTTAATTTTTTTATTCCAAAACAGATACTGTTTTGCACTAATGCAAAAGTAAGGAAAGCCTTGCTTCCTTTGGCATGAACCATCATTTCCCCAATGAATGACAATTTATTACATGACACCATGTAGGTATATACTTCAGTTATTATATCTACTGTGATATTGTTATATTGTTTATAAACTTATATAAAGTTTATTTTATATCTTAAGGACACTTTTTTTTTAATACCTTATTCTTAAATTTTAATCAATGATTAACTAAAAAAAATATGTAAAACCTTCTTTTTGTGTACCTATTATTATTGGCATTATTATTATCTCAAAAAAACTTCGCCTCCAGAGATGTCTAGTTTGCTTCGCTCTCAAAATTATTTTGTCCCTATTTCGATTTTTAAAAATCTGGCAACCCTAGCTGTAGGTATTGACTTGACTAAATTGTCAAAGAATTACAATTTAATTGAGAAAAAACAGACTAACCTTGAACAGTTTTTCCAAGATAATCTCCCTGTCTTTCCCTGTCAATAACTTGTTTGTAGATTTTCCCTGTGGTAATATTATTTTGTTTATGTAATGTTATGTTAAGAAATCGCTCGTAGTTTCCCAAATCCAAGTCGACTTCACCTCCATCATCAAGAACATAAACTTCACCTGGAATAAAGAAATTTGAGGTTAGCCACGCTCAAATACGAAAAAATGTATTAAACAAATGGTAGATTAACTACGCAATTAAGCTAAATTTACCATGTTCATAAGGAGAAAACGTGCCAGCATCCAAATTTATGTATGGATCAATTTTAATGGAGGTAACTTCGATTCCGCAGCTCTTTAGAATAGCACCAAATGTACTTGATATAACACCTTTACCAACCCCACTAATTACACCACCCGTAACCAAAATGTACTTCATATTCGACATAATTACATTAAATGGTTTCACTCTTATGTTATGAGGTTTCACTTAAACTTATTTTCCCAAGAGCATCCAAAAATACACAAATGAATGAATTGAAACATGTGGCGCGTTTATTATTTGCGCAGGCGCTTGCGGAAATGATGGACAACACCAGTGTTGCCAGATTTAGGCCTAAAATATCCCTCACAAGGTAGGCCCTTGATTTTAATTATTGGGTTTATTTCTCCTAGTCGTGTGTGTACGAGTCAGAAAGCGCCTGGAGAAATAAACCCAATAATTAAAATCAAGGGCCTACCTTGTGAGGGATATTTTAGGCCTAAATCTGGCAACACTGGACAACACGTGATATATCGCGGTTTTTTGTTTTAGTATTTTGCACAAAATTTTGTTGCTTTGTTGTTTTTGTCGATTTGTGCGATTTAAATGTGTAGTAAATTATTACTATAAATTATATTTTTATTTGTTATAATACTAAAAATTAATTTAAACCTATTAAAATTACAACATCGCATTTAAACAAATTACGGTCTAAAATATTGATATTGTTTTGTTTTTAAATTGACGCTATAAACTTGTCGAATTTGACACAAATATGTTATAAATTTGATTGTTAAGTTTTAGTGTAAATTAGTGAAATATAATGGTGTTATTAATATATTTATGGTACTTCATTACATATAAGTTTATGCGTAATAATTATTTTTAGGCAACAAGAGCACCTCTGCAAGAATTACCACTTATTGGCCATATACCTGAAACCATTTCAGAAATATCTCTCGATAGCATTGAAAAGTATATTCGCCAAGTTTGTTTAATTGCATCCTCCTCAGCTGGCTCAAAAAATGATATTGCACAAATTTTTGAAAGTTTTGAAAAGACAAAGGTAACCCACCTATTTAACCACAAACATTAATAAAAATATTTACCTATTTATGGTAAAATATGTAGATACCTATTTGTAAATAACATTCACATTTACTTTTCTAGATGTACCCATAGATTAGATAATAGGTACCTACATTATCTTTGGATGTACCTATTATGAATTTTTGGCAAAATTAACTCGATATCTAAATACCTTATTTTAGGAATTGAAAAATGAAAAATTCGTATCAAGACTACTGGGTGGTGTTTTTAATGAAATTCTTTATATGGATGGTTCAAGCAAAACATCAGAGAAAAAATTGTTGGTTTTATTTTATAATGGCATAGTAAAAAATGTACCACAATCAATAATGGCACTGGCTGTTGAACAGTTAGATACATTTTTTGTGTAAGGACCATATAATTTTTGACCATTAATGGTACTAACCTACACTATAGTGCATTTTTTGACCAATTGCAATTGCAATATCCATGGATATAAATTGGTGTAGGTACTATTATACACTATAGTGGAGGAAGTACAGAACCAAGAAACAGAACTTTTATTACCCAGACAGCACAAAATTTGTGCTGTCTGGGTAATAAAAGTTCTGTTTCTTGGTTCTGTACATTTAATGTCCAGTAGATATACACTGGATATTCATTGGATATCCCAAATCCATGGCATATCCATTAGATATCTAATGGAAATATTATGGATGTGTGCCCTCTGGGTACTGAACTTTTTTTTTCCAAGTCTTTAAAATTTTAAATTTTGTATAGCAACATTTTAAAGTTTCTGTACCTATTCATCTTACACCATTTAAATTTTAGTTACCGATTAATGGATTTCCTTGAAATCACTGGAAATTTTGACCTACAAATGACTCTAGTGGAAGCTTTGTTTCGAACTTATGGTTCAAAATATTTAAAACAAAAGGCATCTGCTTTATTGACTGGAGAAGGGCATGAATTTAATGTTTTGAGGAAACTTTTTACATCCATTACCAAGGAGAATTTTTTTGAAGATACCAGATTATTTCTAAATGCTTCTAATAAAAGAACTTCCAAAGTTTTTTCAATTAAGGCTAATTCTATTGAGATTGATGATTACATGTATATTCATAAAGACAAAGTAAGTTTATTTTGCTTTAATTCTTTTTTGGTTACATTTTATTAGTCCTGTCAATCTGTACATTTTATGGTTGTGAACTTCACATTGTGAAGTGGATTCCATTGGAACACCACAGTGGTGTCACCACTTAAGTGACTAATTAGTCTGAGTGTTCTTCTCCTTTCTTGGTGGCCAAAGGCCTCAATGGTCTCGGTTTCAATGTACCATTTTGACCGGCAAAAAGTTTAATGTCCATGCGCTTCACGAACCATCCACCCATAGACACGTGACTCAATGTATTGTACAAATCACAAAATACTCGCTAGAAGGTCAAACCTTGCGATATTGTCCAAAAATACAGGTATATTTCTATACCCGGAATCCAATTTTGTCCCTCCTGGGTCAAAGTCAGCTATGTTTCACACTTTTTCATCGAGCGAGGTCCCAGAGATGAAAGTGCGATGCACCACTTTCGAAAGACAAAATCGAACTCTAGTCTGAGTGACTAATTAGTCACTTAAGAGTTAAAAGCATATTTACAAAGAACTCTTACCTAAAACTGGCACCTACTACACACCTTAAAATGCTATTGCTTTTAGATTTAATGTAATGTATTACATTTTGACTGGACTATATATGTACTTCCGCCCATAAAAGTCTCACCACTTGACTTTTATAGAAATAATTAAATTAATTAAGTTTAATTTTCTGTCAGTGTCGAACTAATTTTGTCCTATTTTTATTTTTTTATTTTCGGCGTAAAAAGTCTTACTTTATTAGTGTGGTCTTGGCACACATTTTTTTTTATTTCCAGTTTAAATTTCTATATAATAGTATATTTTTCAGACTATACTTTTTCTACGTTTCCAAAAAATACCATAAAAAAATAATTTAATTGGAAGAAAGTGAGGTTGGATCGGTCTAAAGTTTGTTAGATATTAAAAACAGAGATGTCGCCACGAGTGTTTATTCTGCCATCCGATGATAGAATATTTCATTCTGTAACACTTTACGGAATATATGTCATTCCATAGATAAAAGTGATATTAGGAGTAGAAAAAAATATATAAACGAATTCGTATTTCATTCCAAATAATTTTTGTATTCATACTTAGGTACTTTTACCACGAGAGAAACGAGACGAGACGAGAGAAAGGCACTCTCGAGTGAGAAAAGAGTATTCTCGACGAGACGAGAGACCCATTTTCTCTCGCTGCACGAGACGAGACGAGAGAAGGACTTTTCCCGTCTCGTCTCGTCTCGCGGCATCACTAAAAATTGATCTTTAATTTAAATAGCTGCAGATTTAAATGTCTTTTGTATACTTTTGTATAGTTTTCTAACATGTTGGAATATAAAATTTTCTGGAAACACACGTCTAACTGAAGGTAGCATAACGTTATCCAAAATCGTCGTATAGTGCTCAGCCGTTAATCTACCATCAATTTTCAAACATATTCCCGCACCATGGATGCTTATCCACGCCCAAAACTTTATGGAAAAGCGTCCACTATTTGAGGTTTTTAATATGTAGTTCTCCTCAAATATTGCGTCTCTTGGACGATATACACGCAGCCTTACATTATTGCAAGATTGGAACGTTTTTTCATCAGAAAATATAACATTATTCCAAAATTCCTCTCCATAATTTAGATAATTATTGGCGAACTGGACTCTCCTGTGCTTATTTTCATCAGTTAAAAAACCTTATGAGCAGCAGCACAGTTTTTTAAGCCAGCTTGTTTCAATCTTTTTTGAGCTGTTCGAAGAGATCCTGGAAATTGTGTATCTTCTGCGGTATTGAAAGGATTTTGCCTAATAGGTCTTCTCAATCTTTGTTCTTGCCAACGTTTCTTGATATAAAATATGCAGCTTTTAATGACATTTAAATCTGCAGCCACTTTACTTAAAGACCAATTTTCTTCTAATTTGGCTATTGCCCTGGACCTCTGAGACGTAGTTAAGTGGGGTGGCATTTTTGATATTGCAATTGACAACTATTATCAAATTTGACAACTACCGACGAGACTGATACAAAGCCCATATTACACGATTAAATTTTGCAGTTCACATTTCGGGGACGCCAATTGTACACAATACTTCGAAAAACAGCAGGGGACATCAAAATACCAAAACAAAAATATTTTTTATACTATTAAAAAATATATGAAAATATTTTTTTAAATACATTAATATCTTTCTTTTGCTTACATTAAAGTAGTGAATATTTTTTACCTTGGTTTGGTCAATTAAGTTGCTTTTGTAATACAATTCGATTAACATTTATTTTATGTAAAAAACAAACATGGCGGAAATAATTATCAACCTTGAGCCCTCTTATTTTGCTCATGGTAATTTTATATAACCTAATTAATTGGGTTATATAAAATTACCAATATAAGGTATAGTTCAGTTTTATAGGACACTCTAAGATACTTAAAGTATTATTATATAATTTTGAAACTCTTATATACATTGTAGTACTACAAGTGATGTTATAAAACTTTTGATAGGCAGCCATCTAACCGCTCAGGTTAGTGTTGTCAGGTAACCTGACTCAGGTTCGTCATTTTAACCTGCAGTAATAATGGTTTTAAAGCAATGGACTCAATTTATTTCGCGTAATATTCGATTTAATCCACTTTTAAAATATTTATGTTAATAATATTATATTACTTATATATTCTATGCTAAATATTTTCTTTTTAACCAATTTTTTATTAAAATTATGAAAAAGCATTGCGTCAAAAGCTAATACTATGCTTAATTTCTGTTTCAATTACTAAACATTTTTGGTTTATTAAGCACATAAATAATAACTCACAATTATTTAAAAAAAATTAAAGACACAATAGTTTTATAAAACAGGTAACCGCAAACTCCCTTATAAACCTATTGGTAACGGTTACTAAAGGTTACTCTTATATAACCTTTAAATAATTTATCGTTACCATAAGTAGTACAAATTGTGTATTGGGAGGTCCTGGTCTCGAGTAGATCTACTTTGCATTAAATTATTTAATAATTTAATGTTGTGTTTTTTTGCAAATTGTCCTGCCAGCTCCTTAAACCTTTCCAAGATGGGGGTGATAGAAGTTGATTTGATGGATTGTGAAATGGATTATCAGGGTGTCTCATTTTTTTAGTTTTAATAGTTACTGTTAGTTTATTTAACTCAATCAAGCCTTTAGATGAAAGACAAAATTAGCTTGACACTGGCAGAAAATGTAACTTAATTATTTTCATTAAAGTCAAGTGGTGGGATTTTGATGTGTGGAGCATAGTACCTCAGGGCTAGGGCAAGTCCAAAAACTTGATTTTGAAGGTGAGCCGTTTAAAGCTTTTAGACTCGGAATTTGTATCAGCATTGTTCTTTCAAGCTTCAAAGAATCAAATCAAATCTCCTTCAAACGTCATGTTTTCGGACTTTGGCCTACATTGGCTCTCGAGTACAGATATTTGAAAACAGTACCTAGGTCTATAGACAAGAAATATTTATATTTTATACTTTTACATAGAATAAGAAGTTTTGGGTGGACATTAATCAGGTTGATGCTGAAGTGTCCTGGTATTTACCAAAATCAGAAATACCAAAATTGGTTCTGGATTCTGCTCTCCCCTCTGAAGACCTAGTTCTTGTTACCCTCAACTTGGTGGACGTTATAAAGACTGATGTTTTAGGGTAATACATAGTTATTATATTTTATATCTACAAGGCGGAACACCTTTAAATACTTTAAACTTTGTTTACACACTTTTTTTATTTAAAAACCGGCGCATGTGCATACTTCTTTGGTGTAAATAAAAAAAATTATTCCGCATTGCAAACGATAAAATTATCAAAAAAAGATATTTGATGCATCACAATTATGTTGTTAATAATAATATCCACTTTTTCAAATACTCAAAATTATCATGGTATACCATAGTATACTTAATTAAGTATAATTATTGGATATAACAAAAATTAAAATCTTTAAAAACTATGTAAATTTTTAGATAGAATGGTGGCAATATGGCAGCCACCCTAATATAGATTGCGTATTTCTTTTCCTGGGTATCAAATAAAACGTTTCACGAGTAAAAAACGTGTGACCAAATTTCTGAATTCTAAAAATTTAATATAAAATAAAAAATTAAATTTTGTTTTCAAATTTTTTTTTTTTAATTTTGAAGAGGTACAAGGAACATTAAAATAACATTTAAAAATTGGGGAAAAAATAATCTGTTATCGGTTATTTGATCAAATAATTGAAAACCTTTTAAAACCAAAAATCTTTATAACATCGTTATTCCTGGGAATTTTGAAAAAAATAGGTTTTTTAAACAATTAATCATTTTTATTCACTTTTATTAGTAATTTTTTCGCCAACTAGATTTTGAGATAACACCCACTTCTATTGTTTTTCCTATGGCCGCCATATTGGAATTTCAAATAATTAGATAGAAAAAAACAAGGAATTCAACGATGCATCAAACTACATAAGTTATTGCGTCCATTATAAAAACAGAAGATGGTGATGGCAACTGAAAACATAGTAGCAAATAAATTGGATGAAAATGTAGATTAATGTGTGTGTTTAGTTTCAAAATTCCCAGGATTAACAAATAAAACGATTTTTGGTTTTGAAAGGTTTTTAGTTTCTTTGAGAAACGCTCATTTCATAAATTTGATATTAATAGGCTTGTAATAACACAACTTTTCTCTAATTTAACCGACCTTGTAGCTCTTCAAATAAAAGAATATCCATAGAAGTACCCTGCTTAAAATACCCCATAGAGACCTATACAAAATAATCTATCGGGCGCTACCGGATTCAATATGTGCATTTGTCCATGGTTTTTTCGGATACGGCCCGATAGAAAATTTATAGGAAATTACCTATAGGCACACCATAACTTTTACATTTTCCCTATTGAGACCGATAGCAAATAACTTAATGAAGGATATATAGGGATATCCCTATAAAGCAACCATAAAACATTTGACAAAATTTGATTAAAACCTATAGGGTCTTATTATGCCCTACTATGGAGAAAGGCAGTAACTGCTAAATAAGAAATTTGTGGAAAATTAGCATAAACTACATTTTTATAAAAAGCAGTAGGTATTTAATTGATTTTTTAAAATTATGAGATATTTTACTGCATTTTTGTGTTGAATTCGGTTACAAAATGTCCATAGCTTTACCATAGCACAAGAAAACGCATTTTGCATTTTTTTGCAGTTACTGCCTTTCTCCATAGTGGGGCAGTATAGGGGAAAAACTAATTTCTACATTTATGTGTATTTTCCCCATTGAAACCAATAGCAAATAAATCAAGGGTGGATATCACTATAGATTAAGATTAAGATAAATAACTATGAACATAAAAATTAAATGTCCCATCCAATGCTAGAATGGAAATACGTAAAATAAACGCGTGGGCACCATTGAGACGAACAATTTTCTGTTTAAAAGTAGACGTTCTATTACATGCGGTAAAAATAGGCAAAAAATATACCTATACCTGTATTGGTCCCACTTACAGAGTCTGTTCTGTGGTCCCACTGAAATAAGAATTTTCCTCTGTATATAAAGTTAAATTGACCGACAAAATTTGAAATATATGTTCTCACAGCAATTTTCATTTGATCTTGGTTGATCAACTAAAATCGAACGAAAATTGCTGTGAGAACATACCTATATTTAAATTTTTGTCGGTCGAGTTAAGTTTAGGGTTATAAAATTTCCGGAAAAATTGAGCCGGCATTTTTTTTATTTTATTCAAAGGGTTAAACGAAAAAATTGAAAAAGTAAATTTTTCTGAAAATTTCCAAATCTCTGTACACTGATATCAAGAAAAAAGTAAATTATCGACTCTGATTACACGTGTACAGTACAACACGATTTTCCTGCCATGAAAAATTTTAATTAATTTTAAAAAAATGTACCCGGGTCTCACCGTTTCACTAAATCACGCCATTTAAATTTTTTATACAGCCATCCTTATTATTTTAACCTATACATATTTTTAATTTTCTATTTTGTTATAAATCATTTTTTTATCTACAGTGTAACCCATTTGTTTGCGACTCACCCCTGTAAAATATTTATTTATTGATCTTGATCTTGATAAACTGTATTTTTGGAGCAAAAAACGCCATATTTTTACAAAATACAAAGCCTACTATGTCAGTTTTTAAGAATTCATATTAGCGATTTTTTTAAACAAAATCTAAGCACGGCACTGGATTCACCACCCCTCAAAACGACCTTTTACTAAATTTTATTGAAAAATTTTAAGTAGAAAAATGCACAATAACTACAAAAATTTATTCTGTCAAGTTTAATTTTATTTCAATGATTTTTTCATGTCATAAGACCTTTTGTCGCACTTGTCCATTAAATTGACGCGTGCGACGGACTCAAAATGGGGAAAAAAATGTGTGCCAAATTTCAGCCCTATAGGTCTATCCTAGATTACGCCTGGGAAGCACTTTTTCACTAAAAATTTAATTATTTAAGTTATTTTTAATTTTATATTCATTATAAATAATAATAATTATTGTTATTATTATAATTACCGGAGAAATATTAATCAAATTATGCATACAATACTATACAGGTTTATCCAAATTAAGGGCGCACCATTGCTAACTTCGTTATTGTTGATCCTATAATGTCGGTGAAATTAGCAATCAATCAGTATTTTTTCTGCGGATTTCGAAGGTAAAACGATAAAAATAATTAAACCATACACTTTGAAGATATTCAAAATATCAAAATTTAGATTCCAAATGCTTAATTAATTTTGATCTTCTGTTTTTAAAAAATTAAAATGGTTTTAATATTGTTTCTTTATTTGCACCTGCGAAGAATTTACGGTATTCAGAGATAAGCTCAGGAGCACACTGTTTTTGGTCTTCATCTTTCGTTATTAATTTATTAAACTCAGTAAATAAATGAACCCCCCTTTCCGCAACACATTTACAACTTTGAGATTTTTTACGATTTTTAATGCATTTTGATAACTTTCACTTTCGCTCCAAAGGGCTGGATCAATATACGAAAAGTCTTGACTGATTCCGAACCGAACAAAGAAATTTCGTGTTTGAGACGTTACAAAATCATCCATTTATTTTTTACAGAAAATAACCATATCTTTGTATTTTAGTTCAATTCTTTAAGGAATCACATTTTCTTTATCGTTTCCTATTCAGTGATAATGAATCATCGAAAAATACCATCGCAACTAATCCGAATTAAGGTACCACAGATGGTTTTGGAATTTATTAATAGTAATCATTGACACCTCATCGTCAATGGATTTATATTCATGCAATTTTTTTAGAAATTGCAAGTCGTGCTTGGGTGCCATATCTGCGTGCGGCGCCGTAAACCAGGCCTTTATGTACAATGTACAATGTTGTACCTTAATTCGGAATCAGTTGCGATGGCATTTTTCGATGAATACAAAACGATGCATGGTAAAGGAAATTAACCAATCTGAAGATATAGAAAATGTGATTCCTAAAAGGATTGAACTATAATACAAAGATATGGTTATTTTCTGTAAAAAAGAAATGGATGATTTTGTAACGTCTCAAACATGAAAATTAAGTAAGCATTTGTATTCTAAATTTTGATATTTTAAATATCTTCAAAGTTAATTATTTTTATCGTTTTACCTTCGCAATCACCGGAAAAATACTGATTGTTTCAAACAATTTGTTTGCTAATTTCACCGACATCATAGAATCAACAATAACGAAGTTAGCAATGGTGAGCCCTTAATTTGGATAACCATGTATATATATATATATGTATATATTGTATGCATAATTTGATTAATATTTATCGCGTAATTATAATAATAACAATAATTAATATTATTTATAATAAATATAAAATTAAATAATTAAATGTTTAGTGAAAAAGTGGTTCACAGTGTTAATTTACCGAGGATCGTGGTTCGGATAGGGCGATAGCGTTACTAAAGTCGTTTTTTCGCGTAAATACCATGACATACTATGGTTATTAAACTTAACCTTGGTTAATAGTTAAGGCATTTTTGCGTTTAGAGTGCGTTCCAAAATCCTAACTATGACGTCACAAATACCAAACCATAAAACTATATCGCTGAGCTAGTTATTTAACGTGGTTAATAGTCTTTCTTTTTTAATATATATTTTTCTGTTTCGATCTGTCAAAAATTTAAAATATTTTAAGTATACTTTATATACACCTATAGGTACAATTGCTCTTAAACCGAATTTAAACTTTGTATTAAAATGGAAAACGGGGTGTTGTCAGTAAAAATAAATGATAGGGTGCTCCATATTGTGGAATCTCCACAAGTGGAGGAATTATATGCAGGTTTGTTTTATATTCTTCGTTATTTTGTATTAAACATGTAGGAGAATTGGATAACGTGTATTGAAAAAACTAGTACCTATAGAAAAAGAATATACTAGGTATAAGAAGAGGCAAAGAAATTTATTTACACCGGTAAAAGCATATAAATTAAATATAAATAGGTACAAACACATTTCAAAAATTATAGGTTATGAACAAGTAAACAAATGTCATATGTTAGAAACCTAACCATGGTTATATGAATTAACTGTGACGTCATGACTTATTTAACCGTAGTATTACAAAGTATTTACGAGAAAAAACGACTTAATCTTCTTTTTAT